CGGCCGCTCGGGGTGCACGGCGGCCGCGCCCGGTGCCAGGTGAGCGGCGGGGAGCGGGGCCCCGCGGGCCGGAGGGAGCTGGCTGCGGGGGCTTGCGCTGATCCGAGATTGGGGGAACACAGCCCCCGGGCACGTCCCTACGGCCAGACAGGGGGGCTGCCAGAGCAGGGGCCCCCAACTTCTCTCGGAGGCATCAGGAGCACCCCGCATCCTGGCAGGGGCAGTGGCGCATTTGGGGAAAATAAAAGCCTGGGATGGCCAGAGATTTGTCTCAGGGACGCCTGGAGAAGTTCATCTCATGCCTTTTTCACGACCAAGTGTGCGGTCTTTGGGGGCACTTTGGGGACAGAGAGCTCATCTCTGACACCGATTGATTCCACCCTCCGGATGCGTTCTTAGCTCACACTGTGTGGATGGTTCTGGGCTTTATGATTTTAGCCAAATCCAAAGACACTGCCCCCCAACCCCCGCCCCCCCCCGCCCCCAACAAACAAGCCAACAAAATCTTTCCCCCTGAAATGCCTTTCTTTTGTCCTGTTTTGTTTTGTTTGTTGCTATAGATTAAGCGAACTAGTTTAGGATTGTCTCTAAATCTCCAAATCGTATGTAAAATTTTCGTGTCCATACGTGCATTTCTCTGAGGAGAGCTTCCATAGATTTTATTTGATTCTCCCAAAGATCCAGTAGCTAAAGTCATAGCTTTGGGCCCCATCACCATGGCGAGTCCTAGCCGTCTTCAGTGTCCCCAAGTTGCGGTTCTTATTTGAAAGTTCAGACTGAGGGAAGAGTTGGGGAGAGGGCTTCCTTCAGGGTTCAGGGAGGACAACTTTCACCCACGTCACAAATTTGTCTAGGCTGGGAATTGGTCTGTTTTTCACTTGTATAAAATCAAATTAGTTTACAAATATGTAGACAAGGAAACCAAGATGAATCTTTGTGAATGAAATATCTATTCAAGTTTCTTCTTGGTAACCAAATGTGCCCCAGCTGTGAAGCTTCCAGGGTCTCTGAGGGAAGGTGAGAGGCGCAATGTTCCAAGTTTATACCCCCCTGGTCCACTGGCTGCTTGGGAAACAGAGGAGAGAATGGATGTTAACTCAGCCTTGGAGCAGCACCAGAAAACCCAGGGTGGCGGGGACGGGGAGGGGAGATGTGATGGGTTGGGGAGTTCTTGGATAAGGAGTTTACTACAAAATTAATAGATACTCTAGAAAAATTGCATTTCATCATTGATTCCACTTGTTCCCGCCAAATGGGCAAGAATGTTCTATGGATGTGAAGTAGTATATGCTGCCACTTGAATAGATTCCATTTCTGGTCCTGCCTTCTTTATCCACAGGAGCTGGGAATCCCAGTCTGTGAGGTTCTTGGGCAGCCTGGTGTTAGGACAGTGGCCCTCAAGCTGTGCGTTTCCCAAATGCTGATATCCTGCAGCTAGCCTCAAACAGTCACAATCTCTTCCCAATTTCAGAGGAAAAAATAGAGGCTAAAATGGTAAGTTTTTTCCTTTTTAAAATTTCCCCAAATCTTTGGTGCTCGCTTTTATTCGTGTGGCATCTAGTTTTGTTCACACATGTATCTGGTTATGTTGAAGCTTAATAAATCATGAATTCTAGTTATAATGAGTCCATTAGTTCTAGGTGGTCTGTAAGCTCCCTATGATTGAGATCCGCTCTTGTAGCCAAGAGTGAGGAATACACCATGTTGTTCTTGAACGTCCTTGGAGTCCTTGTGGACAGTTGGTGCTCTGGGTGGTAGCAGCGAGTTGCACAGGACTCTGGGGCTATCGAGGAAAGAAAATGCCTCCTTCTTCTTGGCTCACAGCCTGAGCAGTTTTTGTCTGCTGTTCTTAACTTCACCCCTATTTTGTAAACTCAGACCATTCTTTTGGTAAGGTTTATGGGAGAGGGGTTAAATTGCTTAGTCAACCCCTCTTCCCTAACTGGTCAGTCAGTCTTCATTAAATCCCAAGTTGAACTGTTGTTTTTCAAAACAATAAGGTGGTTGTTTCCACCTACAACCTGTCTTTTCCTGATATGATTATTGTTTAAAATGGTTCCATAACATGGCAGGGGTTTATTTGGCAATGACACAAATTAATTTTGCTCCTTACTGTAAAAGTCATTAAAAACCTAAACTTTCTATTTTTGGAACAATAGTTGCTGCTTCACTAGCCTTTCAGCACCAGATGAATTTTGCTGGTGTTACTCGCTGTTCTTTTATGTATTTAGCAAATATTTATCGAGCACCTTCTGTGTGTTGGCATCTGGGGTATGAGGTGACTTCATGTTTCTGCTTTCCAGAAGCTCACAGACAAGCAGTGTGGACTCGCATCTTGACTAGCTAAGAACTGACTTCAGGAAGGGCCACTTCAGGGACTTCCTGACTCTGACCATTCTCTTTCAGGTTTAAATTACTGCCCCCTATTCGTGCATGAGCTCGTTTAACGTGTTTGACCAAGGAAAAGGCTACCCACTGTGGTTTCCTGGCCTTGCAGCCCCTTACTGGTCAGCAGTGCCTGACTCCCATCACCCCCCGTGCTGTGTAGGTGGTAGTTCTATGAATAGCACTGCCAGTGAGAGTAAATTAACTTGACAAGAGAGAAATGTTTGCTTTCGATGGTAATACATCGTCCCAGGAGGACTGGCCTCTCCTCTTGAGGGTCCTAGCTGCCCAGTGGCAAGTTTCGCATCCCTGGGCTATTCTTTCCCCAATTCATATGGAATAAAAGTACTAAGTGTTTAAATGCACCCTAAGTGAGATCTGGAAAAGCATATTCAAGGCCAATCGACAGGGAAGGATTCTTCTAATGTTGGATTTGTTAAGTTGGGCCAGTCTGAAATACACCTCTGTACTATGCTGAGGAAAAGCTCGATAGTGTAGATTTTAGAACTAGATCATAGTAATAATAACGTCAGATCCCGATGGAGCACTTACTGTGTGCCCGGCACCCTTCAGAACACTTTATGTATATTAACTCATTTAATCCTCTCTCAATCCAGAGAGGTGGGGACTGTTATTATTGACATTTTAGCCCCCAGATCACATAATTTAGGATGTTTGATTTACTGAGCTTTTCTGGGATAAAGTCTCACTCGTTTTTGTTGTTATAGGGCACTTCTTTCCCTCTTGCCTCCTCATCATAAGAGGTGGCCCAGCCCTGCAGACAGACTGCCTGGTCTGTATCTTGGTTCACTACTAACTAGCAGTGTGACCTTGAGCAAGTCACTGCCTTCTCTGTGCCTCTGTTTCCTCATCTGTAAAATGGCGATGATGAAGCACTACCTCACCAGGTTATCATGAGGAATGAATGAATTTATGTTTATTGAAGTAAGACACTTAGAGGAGTGCTTTGCACACAGGAGGCACTATTATTTTTATTATTAGCTATTTTTTTCTTTCCAGTGTCATCTCCCAATGCCCCTAATATAGCAGCTGTGCTGAGCTGCTGAGAGCTCCCCTGGAACTCCTAAACTCTGTCATGTCTCAGTGCCTTTGCACTTGCTGTTCCCTTCACCTGGAATCCCTTTCCCTTCGTCTTGCTAGGTTCAGCTGAAATGTTCCCTCCTAAATGCCTTCCTTTCATGCCCTCTCCTGTTCTCCAAGTAGCTGCTCCTTCCCTTCTCTGTGATCTCGGTAGCCTGCTACATTCATCCATCAAAGGACTCACCCATTATCAACTACCCAGCATTATTGAGCATTTATTGTGTGCCAGTAGTATTCCAAGTTGTCTTGCTTTTTATGTGACAGCTTTTCATGTGTCTTGCTTTTTATATTGACAGCTCCATGAGGTAGGGTTATATTTTGTTAAAATTATTTCCATGTCCATCTCCCCCAGTAGACTATGATAGTGGCTCATACATCTGTGTGTGTTATTCTCTTAGTATCTCTCGGACCTGGCAGAGTCCCTCATTAATACACAGTGGGCGCTCCATACATGTCTAAGTGGATGCATTTTACCAACAGCTATTTACGTCGGAAAAAATAAACTAATTGTAAGTAACTTTTCTTTTAAATAATCTTCATGCTTTTTTTATTGCAGAAATTCACTGTCAAAATTTTAGAAAACATTGATAAGCAGGCAGAAGAAAGTGAAAATCCCACTCCTCCTGGTACCAGAGAGCTTAAGCAACTTGCTTAAGGACACACAGCTTCTCAAGCTCAGGCCTTCTGGCTTCAGAGCCCACGCTCTTAAGGCTGCATGATCCTGCTGCTCCTCAGCGTCCCCCCCAAACACCCCTACCCCTCCAACAAATTGTGTTAGCTATTAAAATGGGTTGGAAGAGCTGAAATTTGAAAATTAAATCTACCATACATATAATGTTGCAATGCGTGAGATCTACATTTAAAAAATTCCCAGTATTCAGTCTTTTCATGCCTTCACACTTCCTGTTTCATCAGTTACTTAGGGTAATCCAGATTGAAAGGCAGCACAGTGAGGTAGAAAGAGCATGGCTTCTAAGTCAGACATTGGATCCCAGCCACACCAGCAGACGTGTTACCAGGGACAGTTGCATAACCTCCCTCATTCTTAGTCTCTTCTGTAAAACAGAGATCGTGAGAAATACTTCTCAGTGTTTTGTCAAGTCTAAGGGTAACGTGGTGGTGACATGCTGGTGCTGGATTAGTGGAGGGTCTTGTTGTTAAGGCTCTCATGGTGATACCCTATGGCTTTGCCCAAACAGCAATCTGGTCAAGTTGTTTTCCACAGCTATATGTGGCTTTTTTTCCAATCCTTCATTTTAATTCTCATGGTAGTTTTAACTTTTATATTATTATTAGATGTCTTTAGTAACTTGCCTCACAGTCATTTTCTGAGAAATTCAGTCTCTTCTCCACAGGGCTCCTTTGAGATTAAAGAGAAAGAAGTGGTAAATTTAGGATGTCAGAGCAATTTTCACTTGAAAGTAGAACATTGTTTTCATTGTCCTATCATTAATGTTCTCCATTTTCCTTTATCAGCGAGTGACTTCTCAATCGATTGTATTGCCAAACTGAACTCTCTTGCATTCTTGCAAGATGAAAGGAGATGACCATGAATGAGCCGCTAGACGATGTTGCAAATGCTTCTGATTTCCCCGATTATGCAGCTGCTTTTGGAAATTGCACCAATGAGAAAATCTCACTCAAGAGGCACTACCTCCCTGTTATTTACAGCATCATCTTCCTGGTGGGCTTTCCAGGGAACGCGGTAGCAATTTCCACTTACATTTTCAAAATGCGGCCCTGGAAAAGCAGCACCATCATCATGCTGAACCTGGCCTGCACAGACCTGCTGTATCTAACCAGCCTCCCTTTCCTGATTCACTACTACGCCAGTGGCGAACACTGGATCTTTGGGGATTTCATGTGCAAGTTTATCCACTTCGGCTTCCATTTCAACCTGTACAGCAGCATCCTCTTCCTCACCTGTTTCAGCATCTTCCGCTACTTTGTGATCATTCATCCGATGAGCTGCTTTTCCATTCACAAAACTCGGTGGGCCGTGGTGGCCTGTGCTGTGGTGTGGGTCATTTCGCTGGTGGCCGTCATTCCCATGATCTTCCTGATCACATCAACCACCAGGGCCAATAGATCCGCCTGCCTTGACCTCACCAATTCGGATGACCTCACTACTATCAAGTGGTATAATCTAATTTTGACTGCAACCACTTTCTGCCTCCCCCTGCTGATCGTGACACTTTGCTATACGGTGATTATCTACACCCTAACCCAAGGACCTCGGACTCACAGCTGCCTTAAGCAGAAAGCTCGCAGGCTAACCATTCTGCTACTCCTCGTGTTTTATATATGTTTTTTACCCTTCCATATCTTGAGGGTCATTCGGATTGAATCTCGCCTGCTTTCCCTCAGCTGCTCCACAGAGACTCAGATCCACAAAGCTTACATCGTTTCTAGACCATTAACTGCCCTGAACACCTTTGGTAACCTGTTGCTGTATGTGGTGGTCAGCAGCAACTTTCAGCAGGCCATCTGCTCAATGGTGAGATGCAAAGCAAGGAGGGACTCAGAGGAGCCAAAGAACATCAGTCACTCAAACAACCCTTGATGTACTTCATTTATCAACCAAAGAGAAAAGCCTGCTGATACGTTACCTTTGACTTCTAAGAAGTCCAGAATATCTCCCTCAATGGAAGTCTTAGTAAATCTTGTGTATTCAGGTAATTGTGTGCCAAAGCCGGGCAGGGCTACTAGGAGCTCTTTGCAACGTGTTTATTGAGATCTTCCCTTGGGTAAGATGTAAGAATGGGATCCATGCATATCAGTAAAAGATTCGAATTTAAAACTGGAAGTATTGGGACTCAGGGCCGTGTCAGAGAACATCTAGGCTACCAACTTATTATGTATGTGTGGAAATTGACGTTCACCCACTTGCCTAGATCTCTCAGTAATTTATGCCGAGGTAGGAGAAAGCCCATTTTTCAGGCATAGCCACATGCTCCTTCATACTGGGCCCTATTTGTATAGAACCCCTAGACTATTCAAGCCATTATTTGTATCTTTTCCAATATTCATTATTTTTGTATTATGTATCTTTAAAAGTTTTTTTTGAACTTTCCTTCTAGATGATTAAACCACATTTTTCACCAGGCTTTAGTCAGTTTTGTAGATTAAAGCAAGCCTGCACGATACACTGGAGACAATTCAAAGATGTCAGTGCAAGTAGCTACAGATAATACCTGTAAGATATTTGGGGTATTATGTCTTTAGTGTTGTAGATCATTTTGTGTGTGTGTGTGTGGAGATCAGCCCTATGCTAGCATCCGCCAATCCTTCTTTTTTTTTTTTGCTGAGGAAGACTGGCCTTGGGCTAACATCCGTGCCCATCTTCCTCCACTTTATATGGGACGCCACCACAGCATGGTTTGCCAAGCAGTGTGTCGGTGTGTTCCCGGGATCCGAACCGGCGAACCCCGGGCCGCCACAGTGGAGTGCGTTCACTTAACTGCTTGCACCACCGGGCCGGCCTCTATTGTAGATCATTTTAAAAGCTGTTTTTGAATTTATAAAATTTATCAAGTTGTATTTGTGATTATCAACATGTCCTGGGGAAAGGGGGGCACTTTTTGGGGAACAGAAGTACTTTGAAATATCACGTATATATGGGGTGTTAAATGAAATCTAACGTTGCTTTGATTTCTGTGGGAAAGTACTCCAGGAAACACTAATTCTCTTTAGATACCTTTCCTTTAGTGATTATCATGAAAATATGATCTCTATTATAACAGCTAAAGCTATTTTTGAATTGTATATGAGCTTAATTATCGCAAAGTGTAAATATTTGAGAAAATGCGTGGATATTTAAAACCCTAGTAAATGTGTTGATACAATTAATAAACTAATTTAAAATCACTGAACAGGCTGGTAATATTTTTGTGTGAAAAAGCAGTTTTACCGCTATTATATTCCATGAAGCTTATGTTCTCCGTGTTTAGAGAATAAAAATAATTTTAAGAATCAGTTACAGAATAAGGCTGGAATAGAAGATTTAAACAGAAGAAAGGGTACCATAAGAACTCTTCCTGGTTTTCAGGTTCTTCTAGGACATTGCATCTCACTTAGAGCTAAGTGAGGATGTTCATCCTCTCTCTGCTAGGCATGCGGAGGAAGAAAGAGGGAAGCCAGTGGCTCTAAACATGAACCTTTCTGGATGATGGCACTCTCTCCACCCACCACCTTCTAAGCCATCTTCTTGGGGCCTTTCTGTGGTGTGTGGAATGAGCTATTTCACTAGGGCGCCTGACTTGCCCATGCATGCTGCTGCACGGCATGGAGTAGCATTCAGAGATCCACTTGGAACCTGGAAGCTCGGTCGGTAGCTTTCCTCTCCCCTCCCCCTAATGTCCAGCCAGCTCCTTGGCCATCACCAAAGTGGCCAGATTAGCTTTTAATCAATGCTGTTGTTAGGCTAGCCCTGAGCACAAACCCCTTTCCTTTCTATTTCTTCTTATTCCAAAGATTTCACCCACCAGAGAAAAGCCACCCCAATCTTCTTCATGTTTGTCTCAACTTGTCTCTGTAGCTTCTTTTTTCCTTTTCCTTCTTCCCACCAATTTAGAAAACAATAAATCATCTTTCTGATACTAAGTCTTCCACTGTGTCTTTGGTCCTTATTCTGCTCTTAGGGACTTGCTCCAACACTCAATCCCACTTTCTCAAATTTTTAACATTTCTACTGCCCTGGATAAGTGGCCTTAATTTTCCTTTATCTTCAAAATACCTTCCCTTGACTCAGCTGTTCTGTCATTCTCATATCTGACCTGCTCCCTGCAGTTATGGGTCAGATGCAGAAGACTGTCTGCCCTCCAGGGTTCTGCTGATGGAATATAATCACAAAGATCCAAGCTAAATTGGATTCAAAGGGTCAGTTTTATTTTCCAAAGTAAAGAGTTCTGGGCTAATTGTGTTGGAGGAAGCAGTTTGGAACTGAGGCCAAAAAAGAGATTGATGATATTTCTGAGACTAGAATGGGACTCCAATGACCTTGCCTCATACATCCAGTGGCAGGCAGAGAAAGTATAAGGACAAAAAAGACAGAGCTCTGACTATCTGCCGGAGAGGGAGCTGCCTGGTCTGCTGATCGCATGAGGACTGAAGCTCAAGTCAGCCTCACTATGCCTGAATGCAGGGAATCCAGAAAAACCTGTCCCGAACTTTGGAGACACAGTAACCCCTCCACTTTGTTTTTAGCTTTATATCGTGAAAATTTTCAAATAGTCGCAAAATTAGAGAAATTAGCAGATGACTTCACATACCCATGCCTTAATTTCACCAATAATCAACATCCTACCATTGTTATTTTATCTATCCCTTCCCACAATTTTTTGCTAGAATATTTACAAACAAATCCTGGAAAACATAGTAGTTTCACCCATAAACGCTTCAACATCAATCTCTTTCAAAACATATACAAAACCAAAACAAAATAAAAAATGGTTCATTAATATTATCTAATATCTAATCTGTATTTTCCTTCCCCTGGTTGCCTCAAAAGTGTCTATTTACAGTTGGTTTTATCAAATCAGGATCCAAACAAGGTCTATGCATTACCTTGATTGATAAGTTTATTAAATTTCTTTTAATCTATAAGAGTCACCCCTCCCTTTATTTATTGCCATTTATTTACGGAAGAAACCAAGTTGTTTGTCCTGTGGACTTTTCTACGTTGTGGGTTTGGCTGTTTGAATTCCATTTTGTTGTTTATCACGTTCCTCCATTCCCTGTATTTGCTGTGAATTGGAAGGTAGAGCTAGAGGTTGGACTAGAGGCAGATTCCTTCTTCCCTCTCTCTCTCCCTCCCTCTCTTCATTGGTACCTCCCCCCCTCCCTCCCTCCCTTCTCCCCTTCCTCCTCTCTTTTCTTTCTCAGAAGCACTTACCTGCCAGAGGAGGTGCCTAGTGTCTGACTACCCTCCATTTAATGACCGAGCGGGGGTTTTAGGATGTGTCAGCCTGATCCTTCTGTGATAAAGTTCTCCAACCTCCTTTGCCTTCATAGTGTATCCATCGGTGCTTATTGTTGTCTCCATCCACTAGGGTTTCACAATGGTGATTTTTAAAATTCTAACATTCTTCTGCTTTTGTTAGTTACAGCTTTTCTGTAAAGATCTTTGACTCATCAACTCTCTTTACCCCTTCCACTCTGAACACAGCTCCCACTGATCACACGTAGCTGCTCCTCCTCCTTTGGGAAGGTATAAGTGAGGGATGAAAAGAGTTCTGGAAGCTACATCTCCGGTATTTCCTCCACGGAAGTGTAAGTGTTGATAGAAATTTTGATAGAATTTCCTTTCCATATAGGCCAAATTTTTATCCTTGAACTCTTCAGGGTTAACAGCCGTGACTAAGATCCACAGGGTTGGAGCTGCGCCTGTCGGGAAGAAGGCCCTCAGAGGAGCTTGTCTTACTGCCTTTGTGTGTTCTCTTGGACACAGCAGGCCATTTGGGTTTTCCCTCAGAAGGCTCTGAGAAGGGATGGAACAAGATGTTAACAACTACAAAGCGGTGTACTGCTTGACGTCAAACATCACTTCTTGTTCTAATTTTGTTCTTAAATTCTACCCAGCAACACCATTCAATAAAATCCACATGATATTATACAATGATGCCAAATGATGTCAAGTGATACAAGGCCAGCAACATAAGAATGCCTGAGGGTGAGAGCCCCTTCCATTATTGAGTTCCCAGGAAGACATTAAATTATAATATGCGCTGGTCTGTTTTCTTTAAATTCTATTTTCCTTTCTGCCCTTCTATCTGATATTATCTATTGATCTGTCTTTTGTTAATCCCACCTTGTACTGTATTCAATTTGCCATTAAATCCATCCTTTGTATGCCTAATGTCAGATATTGTATTTTTTTTCATTTATAGGATGTACATTTGGTTCTCTTTATTAATTCAATCATTTTGGTGAATTTCTTTGTCTTTTAATCTATTTGTCCAATTTTTCCCATATTTTCTAGGACTGAATAATCATAGTTATTTTAAAGTTCTTATTCATCTACTCCAATAACTGAATTACTTTTTGCTCTGTTTCTATTGTCTGCCATTTTCCTCATGTTTATTATTCATGTGATCCTCTCTCCTTGCATGTCTATTAATTTTTGATTGAATGACAGAAATCGCCTATGAAAGAATCAAAGAGGCTTCCCTGAGAGGTTTTTATTTCAGATATTTTACTTTCCAACTGTAAATTTTCTATTTAATTTGACTTCTTTTCTCAAGTTTTCTCTTATTCACTAAATAAATCATATTTTCCTTTAACTCTTTAAACATTTAAATAGCTGTTTTAACATCTGTGTCTATTAAATCTAGCATCTGGTTTGTATAACTTTCCTCTGGATGCTGTAACAGATTACCACGAATTTAGTGGCTTAAAACAGCACAAACATGTTCTCTTTCAGAGGTCAGAAGTCTGAAATTGGTTTCCCTGGGTTAATGTCAAGGAAATGGCAGTCCTGCCTTACTTCTGGAAGCTCTAGAGGAGAAGCCATTTCCTTGTATTTTCCACCTTTTATAAGCCACCTGCATTCCTTGGCTCATGGTCCCGTCCATCTTCAAATCCAGCAGCATATCATCTTCAGATCTCTCTGACTTGTGCTTCTATCTGAACATTTCTCTCTAATTCTGATTCTCCTGCCTTCCTTTTATTGTAACTCTTGCGATTACATTAGGCCCACCCAGATAATCTAGGATAATCTCCTCATCTCAAAATCTGTAATTTAATCACACCTGCAAAATTCCTTTTACTATGTAACTTAATGTATT